CATTTTCTTCTAAACACACACATAAAGACAGTACATGTTTTTCTCATACATGGACTCTACATCTTAAGTGGTCACATAGGGCTGGAAAGATGATTCAGTGGTTAAGAATGTGTACTTCTTAAAGGTGGCACACACCTTTATTTCCAGCACTCAGGAGGCAGGGCAGGCAGATCTCTGTGAGTTCAAGGCCAGCCTGGGCCACAGAGCGAGTGCCAGGACAGGCTCCAAAGCTACACAGAGAAACCCTGTCTTGGAAAACAAAGAAAAAAGAATGTGTGATGTTCTGGTAGAGGAATGTTTCCCAGCAAATTTCCAGCACACACAAGAAAGGCTGACACCTGTCTGTAACTGTAGTTAGTTTTATAAAAGCTGGGTGTGGTGGCACATGCCTGTATTTTGTTGGCTGAAGCAGGGGGATTGCTGCAAGTCAGTGAGAGAGACATGGACTCAAAGAACAAAAGTCCATCCCCTCCACTATTGCTTAGCATTGCGTTGAATGATTTAGCCAATGAGATTTAGCACAGGGAAAAGAGACAAGAGAATTAGAAAAATATAAAATTGCCTTTTAATAACCTCAGAATGCACCTGAAGGACAGGGAGATAACGTAAGAGATGCCTGCTGCCAAGTCAGAGGGTCTGAGTTTGATACCAGGAGCCCACGTGGTGCAATGAGAGAACCAACTCCTGCAAAGTTGTCTTCTGACCTCCATAGTAGGTCTCTCTCTCTCTCTCTCTCTCTCTCTCTCTCTCTCTCTCTCTCTCTCTCTCTCTCTCTCTCTCTCTCTCTCTCACACACACACACACACACACACACACACAATCTTGAGAAAATAAACTTGGAGCACTCTTTAACAAACTTAGACAAACATGAAAAGAATTTTGCATGATAACAGGCTATGAAAGCAACATGAAAAAGAAATATCCCAAAAGCTGAAGCCCAGCTATGGCCCTACATCTTCCACAATGTAAGTGGAAATGAAGAGATGTCCTGCCATCAGCCAATGAGCACCCAAAAGACATCATTTCTCAGTACATACAGAATACGGCCTCTAGACATGCTGGAGTTTGCAGTGAAGTATATGAAGACTACAGATGTTTGCTTTGACATGAGGCTCAGCAAAGGAAAGATCAATCCAGGAGTATGACAAATGTCCCAGAGCACAGAAGGGTGATGTTGACCTCGCAGACCTTCATATACTTTGATAGCCCATAAACTAGACAGCTTAAAAAAGCAAACAAAACCAACTATGAGTTAGAATAAAGCTCCGATTGCCAGCTATAAAACCACTAAAAATCCATGGAAACAAGAAACCTAAATTCAAAGCAGCACAAGATGCTTTTTAAAAGAAATTTTTATTTTTTTAATATATACATTACAACATCATGTTTTCCCACACACTGTGACCATGCACTAAAAACACCTGAGTACTTTGATAACCAAGACTGTACCATACCATCTCAGTCTGTCAAATACAACTGTGATCCTGTCTTTCCAGATGGATACTTTTTACCAACTGGGTACAGGCTGGAGTCATCTGAGAGGAGGGAACCCCAATTGAGAAAACGACTCCATAAGATCAGGCTGTGGGCAAGCCTGTAGAGCATTTTTAGTGATTGATGGGGGAGGGCCCAGCCCATTGTGGTGATGCCAACCTCAGGCAAGTGGTCCTGGGTTCTATAAGAAAGCAGGTTAAACCAGGCACACACCTTTAATCCCAGCACTAGGGTTGCAACGTGGTTGGTCTACAGAGCAAGTTCCAGGACAGCCAGGCTACCCAGAGAAGCTATCTCGAAAAGAAAAAAGACAAAACACAATCACCACCACTCCTCCCGCAAAAAAGAGGAGAAGAAAGCAGGCTGAGCAAGCTATGTGGAATGAGCTGGTAAGCAGCATCCTCCAAGGCCCCTGCATCAGCTCCTGCCTCCAGGTCCCCTCCCTGTTTGAGTTCCTGCCCTGACTTCCTTCAGTGAAGGACTACGGATGTGAAGGTGTATAAACCAAATAACGCTTTCCTTCTCAGCTCACGTGTGGTCATGGTGTTTCCCCACAGCAGTGGTGACTCTAACTAAGACAGAAGACAAAATTGGCAGCAGTCCTCTTAGCAGCACGGGTGAAGTTACAATTAAAATGAGAAGCAGCCAGCACCTGCAGCAGAGGCTCCCGGCCAAACGTCAATCCTAAGACACCAGGGCTACACTGCTGCCTCTAGGCCTCCCCCACCCCCGCCTCTGCCACTGTATAGACACGTCTTGACTCTCAGTGTCCAGAGGTGACAAAACAATCCTATGTTCAAAAGTGATCTTTTCTGTGAATTCTATATCATACGCTGTCACAATGTGGCCAGCTCAGGAAGGGTTTGGCTATCCCTCACCAAACAGTACTTCATGTGAATTTGAACAAAATGTATTTCCATTATGTATTACTTTACTACTATCTATATGTCAGACACCTCAGAGCATCTGAGAGATATTGTCAAAAATTACTCAGCATTGTCAAATACACACATATACACATACAGAGGGAGGAAGAGTACATGCATACACAATGATGAGATGTTAAAAAGACGTCTCCTCCTAAGGCCCCATCTGGCTGAAGGCCTTCCTGATCAGCCCTCTCACATACAGAACACGGGCAGTGTCACTCCTGAGTACCAGAGGCAGCCTAAACAACTCTGTCCCAAAGCCACTTCCAGAAAGACATGCCTCCGACTTTTTAAAAAGTGACTGGACACACCCGAGTGATTTCCCACCTCTACTTTACCCTGTGGGGCAATCTCACAGCTAGATGCTCACATTTAGCCCATGTTTTTGTTGCAGTGGTTCTCACCCTTCCTAATGCTCCAACTCTTTAATACAGTTCCTCATGTTATGGTGACCCCAACCATAAAATTATTTCGTTGCTACTGTTATGAGTCATAATGTAAATGTCTGACATACGGGCTGTCTGATGTGTGACTCCTGTGGGGCCGTGACCCACAGGTTGAGAACTGGTTAGGGAAAGGTTGAGAGCAGCTGTCTCTTACTACATACACGGACACACCACAGTGGATACGTGCCATTAGTGTTTCCCACCGAGTGACTCCAGCTGAGAGCAGCTGACTCATACTACATACACGGACACACCACAGTGGATACGTGCCATTAGTGTTTCCCACCGAGTGACTCCAGCTGAGAGCAGCTGACTCATACTACATACACGGACACACCACAGTGGATACGTGTCATTAGTGTTTCCCACCGAGTGACTCCCTCCAGTGCTGGACAGCTGGAGGAAGCAGGGGCAGGAAGATCTGTGGGACCGAGCCTGCAACTTGGTGAGCTACAGGTACCCATGACAGGCTGTGTCAAAACTACAAGGAACCTAGGAAATGACACCCAAGATTGACTTCTGGTTTTCACACTACATGAACACACACACTGGAAAACCCATGCACACTAATGTGAGCACGTGAATGCATAACACACACACACACACACACACACACAGAGACTAGTAAGACTGAATTCTCTCTAATGTGGTCTATAGATCAGTGGCACCCTTCCCATGTAAAAGAAAACAAGGTTGGTTTTGTTTGTTTTTAATGAATCTAGGAAAACCCACCTAAAATCATGTGGAAAGTGAAAGTTCAAGAACCAGCAGTATATTTATGAGGGAAAACAGGACATGAAACTTGTTCTATTGGGTACTGAAGTTTGCTAAGGTTGGGGTGGTGAAAATTGTGGGTTGGAAGAGAAATTGCCAGTGGAACAATCAGGAACAGTAAACTCAAGAATTTTGGGAAACTTTTACTATGATTTGATCATTACATACTGCATACATGTCAAATTATCACACTACACCCCATAGATATGTACAGCTGTTCTAGCAAAATCTTTGACATAAAGCTAACAAGGAGATGATATATGACAGAGTTGTAAAGGGAGAGCGCACACTTCTTGATAAATCATACTGAGACATCAGTTTCCCTAAGAAGAAGTAATAGGGTACGTGTTTGATATGAGGTACAAAACTACAGGTAAACAAAACCAAAATTAAAAAAAAAACTTATAGTAGAACTTGTAAAGAAATGGTTTTTAGAATTCAAAGTAATGATAAATTTAAAACAAGAAAACGAACCCAGAAAAAGTTATAGAGACGAAAAGTTAGCATAAAAGACCTTGTAGACTCAGCTGCAGAACTTGCTCCGCGAACGTCCTGAGTTTGCCTCATAGTTCTGGCTATCTATACTAACAGTGCTTTAAATCGCATCAATAAATAAAAAGTGAGTAGTAAGCTGGGCGGTGGTGACCCATGACTTGGGAGGCAGAGAAGGCAGATCTCTGAGAGTTCTAGGCCAGCCTCATTCATCTACAGAGTGAGGACAGAGGCAAGACAGGTAGGCTCCGAAGCTACAAGAAACCTGTCTCAAAAAACTTAAAAAAAATTGAGTTGTAGATATTATTTATAGTGTTGTACTTTTTTGTTATTGCAGTGTTAAAGACCATGTCTATGCGTTATAAAAACTCAGAAAATGTAAATCGGTCGTTGGTTTACTCCTATAATCCCAGCATTTAGGCAGAAAGATTACCATGCGTTTGAAGCCAGCCTGGGTTAGAGTGGGATGCTGTATCACAAAACAACAAAAAATCGAACAAAAACATGAGAAATCGGGAGATAGATAATTTACACAAACTCAGAACAGTTTCCATAAACCTCCGAGCGAGGAACCGCGGGCAAAGATGGTCGGGTCAGGCGGGATGATGGAGACCGGGTGTCGGACTTCAACAGCAGCGCGGTGAAGGAGCAGCGGGAAAGCGCAGCGTCGCCGGGTAGAGGGTCCTGGAAGTGCCCCGCCCCCGGTCCCTGCGGTTGGCTCCAGAGTGTGAACGCGCATGTCCCTGGAGGGCTGGAGCGTGAGCTCACCTCCGCCGGGCGGGGCTAGGACGTCGGTGGGCGGGCCCGTGTGGCGTCCAGCCAATCAGCGGAAAGCTTGGTCGGGGCCACGCCGGGTTTTCTCCCGCGCAAAGGCGCAGCCGGCTCAGAAGCGTCGAGGGAGCTGAGGCGTCGACCTCCGTCCCGGGCCGCTGAAGTAAGGCCATGGCGCGGTGGCGCCGGCCTTCGAGCCCGCGGCGGTGCCTGGCCTGGCCTGGCTCGGGGCCGCGTCAGGCAGACGCCACAGCCAAGCGGGCACGATGGGCGCGGCGAGCGTCCCCGAGGGCGGAGGGTTCGCCAGCCGCGGCCGGTGGGGCGGGCAGGCCTGAGCCTGGTCAGCTCGGACGGGCGGGGCCGCGGGGTCCAGGGAGCCGGGGTCGGGAGGACTGAGGAGCCGGGGTCGGGACTGAGGAGCCGGGGTCGGGAGGACTGAGGAGCCGGGGTCGGGAGGACTGAGGAGCCGGGGTCGGGAGGACTGAGGAGCCGGGGTCGGGAGGACTGAGGAAGCCGGGGTCGGGAGGACTGAGGAGCCGGGGTCGGGAGGACTGAGGAGCCGGGGTCGGGAGGACTGAGGAGCCGGGGTCGGGAGGACTGAGGAGCCGGGGTCGGGAGGACTGAGGAGCCGGGGTCGGGAGGACTGAGGAGCCGGGGTCGGGAGGACTGAGGAGCCGGGGTGGGGACTGAGGAGCCGGGGTCGGGAGGACTGAGGAGCCGGGGTCGGGAGGACTGAGGAGCCGGGGTCGGGAGGACTGAGGAGCCGGGGTCGGGAGGACTGAGGAGCCGGGGTCGGGAGGACTGAGGAGCCGGGGTCGGGAGGACTGAGGAGCCGGGGTCGGGAGGACTGAGGAGCCGGGGTCGGGAGGACTGAGGAGCCGGGGTCGGGAGGACTGAGGAGCCGGGGTCGGGAGGACTGAGGAGCCGGGGTCGGGAGGACTGAGGAGCCGGGGTCGGGAGGACTGAGGAGCCGGGGTCGGGAGGACTGGGGAGCCGGGGTCGGGAGGACTGAGGAGCCGGGGTCGGGAGGACTGGGGAGCCGGGGTCAGGACTGAGGAGCGGGGGTCGGGAGGACTGGGGAGCCGGGGTCGGGAGGACTGAGGAGCGGGGGTCGGGAGGACTGAGGAGCCGGGGTCAGGACTGAGGAGCCGGGGTCGGGAGGACTGAGGAGCCGGGGTCGGGAGGACTGGGGAGCCGGGGTCAGGACTGAGGAGCCGGGGTGGGGACTGAGGAGCGGGGGTCGGGAGGACTGGGGAGCCGGGGTCAGGACTGAGGAGCGGGGGTCGGGAGGACTGGGGAGCCGGGGTCAGGACTGAGGAGCGGGGGTCGGGAGGACTGGGGAGCCGGGTGGGGCGGGGTCAGGCCGGGAGTTAGTCTGCAGGGCCTATGGGGTTGGGAATTCCTAGGGAATTAGGAGCCAGGGGCCCGAGGTGGGCGGGAGGCGGGGCCTGGGGAGCCAGGGGTCATGGTAAGGGCGCTGGGGTCAGGGCTGGGGATTAGTGGTCCCGACCTCGGGAGTTAGGAAAGTAGTGGCCGGGACCTGGAATTAAAGGTCGGCCGAGGGGATGTGGGCGGGGCCGAGCGGTGTGGGCGGGGCCGAGGGAGGTGTGTGGGGCCTAGGGCCGAAGGGAGTGAAGAGCTAAGCAAAGGGGGGCTCCAGGGAATTACAAACAAGGGTTAAGGAAATCTGAGGGTGGAACCTTGGGAATGGGATTAGGGATTGGAGCCCAGGACTCAGGAGGCGGGGCCTAGGAAATAAGGATTGAGGAGTTGAGGGAATTCAGGGCCCAGGCTAGGGAATTAGGAGTCAATGACTAAGGCGGTCAGGGGGCGGGGCCTAGGGAGTTAGGGGTCCTGGTAAGGATGTCAGAGTTGAATTAGTAGTGGGGACCTAGGGGACTAGGGGTGCTGCTGTCTAGGGAAGTAGGGGCGGGGCCTAGGGAATTAAGGGGTGCTGCTGTCTAGGGAGGTAGGGGCAGGGTCTAGGGAATTAAGGGGTGCTGCTGTCTAGGGAAGTAGGGGCGGGGCCTAGGGAATTAAGGGGTGCTGCTGTCTAGGGAGGTAGGGGCAGGGTCTAGGAAATTAGGGAGTGCTGCTGACTGGGGAAGTAGGGGCAGAGCCTAGGGAATTAGGAGTGCAGCTGGCTAGGGAAACAGGGGCGGGGCCTCCGTGATTAGGGGTGCTGTCTAGGGAGGTAGGAACAGGGCCTAGGGGATTAGGGGTGCTGCTCTCTAGGGAAGTAGGGGCAGGACCTAGGGGACTATGACCTGAGTCCTATTGGATTAGGAGGAGGGGCCTAGGGATTTTGGGGTAAGGAGGTAAGTAAATTAGGAGACAGGGGATTTGGGATTGGGGTGGAGAAATCTAATAGGAAATTTAGGTACATAGGGGTGAGGAACTGAGAAAATTAGGGGTTTGTGTATGGAATTATGGGCTAGGATCTAGGGATTGGGCACCGAAGAAATTAGATCAGGACTGAAGGCCTAAAAAGTTGGGTACAAAGGAAATCTTGGGTTGGTGCTGAGGCAGTTTTGAGATGAGGTGAGGGAATTGGGACTAAAAGTGAGGATTTTGCCTGATGGTTTGGGTGCTGAGGGAATTTGGGTGATGAGTTAAGTATGCTGGGACTGAGGGTATTTGGCATTGGGGTGAGGGAATAGGGGATTCCTTAGAGGAATAGTGTGGGAATCAGTGAGGAGCTGAGAGAAATTGGGTGAGAGGATGAGGGAATGAAGGGTTAGGGTAGAAGTTAGGGCCTAGAGGATTAGGTGTAGAGGTAAGGGAATAGGTGTTAGAGCTCAAATAAGGTGTTCAGGGCTAGACTGGGTTAGAGAATTAGTGGTTGGCCCTGAGGGAATTAGGGGTGGGAGCCAATTTAATTAGGAATTGTTAGTGACAGGATTAAGGATTGTTGAGTTTGAGAGAATTAAAATTGAGTTGACTGAAGCAGTGGATTGAGGGAATTAAAGGTTGGTAATGTGGCAATTAGGAGTAGTTAAGGGAAGTGGAGTTTGGGGACTGAGGGATTTAGGGGTTGTGAAATTTAGGTGCTATAAATAAGAGAATTAGTGTTTGGGATGAGGGAGTTAGGGCTTGTGGGTGAGGCCAACTAGGGAGTTGGGGGCCAAGAAAATTAGGTGTTGTGTGGGATGAGGGAATTAGGAGTTAGTTGGTGGCTGAGAGAATGTGTCTTTCGGGGTACTAGGGATTAGGCTTGAGGAAATGGAGTTCTGGTTAAGGGACTTGGGACTAAAGACACCGGAGAGGTTTGGGAATGGGAGCTGGGGAGTTCAGTAAAAGGTTGAGAGGGAATCAGGGTTAAGTAGATGAGGGAATGTAGTATGAGAGAAAGACTTGGTTGGAGCTGGGGTAATGGGAGCTGAAGTACTGAGGCTTGGGTGTTTGTGGGGTTGAGAATAGAGGGCTGAGGGGCTGTGGGAAATCTATAAGGCTGATGAAACGAAGGTCTTAGGGCCTGAGGGAATGATGGCCTTGGGGGTTAGGAGACAGGTACTAGGAACTGAGGGGCTAGAGGTTTGGGTAGTGACTTAAGGAATGAGACAGAGGTAATGGTAGACTGACTGAGGGGCTAGTGAGACTGCAAATCTCTGGAATGAGGGCGTGAAAGGAATGAAGGATTAGGAAGTAATGGACGGGGTGTGGAGTACTTAAAGGAATAGAGAATGGGGGCTGAAAGAATAAGACTGGGAGCATGAAAACATAACTATTGGGGAGTTGGTGGACCAGAGGGAATTTAAGGGAATTAAAGCACTTATGACTGAGGGGGAACAGAGAAGTGGGGCTGGGACCTGTGGGTGTTCATTGTGCTTATTCTGCCCACCCTACAAGAAGACCCTTTTCCTTTAATATGCATACTTAATGGAAGTTTATAGGTATATTACTTTCCCAAGGTCTAGAAGATTTTTTTTTTTTTGGTTTTACGAGACAGGGTTTCTCTGTATTGTTTTGGAGGCTGTCGGTCCAGCCTGGCCTCGAACTCACAGAGATCCACCTGCCTCTGCCTCCCGAGTACTGGGATTAAACGCGTGCGCCACCACCGCCTGGCTAGAAGATTTTTTTTTTAAGGGCAGGCTTATCCTATATAATCATCTACATTAACCTCTAAAGTACTGGAATGCCTGGTGTGGGCCACTTGTACTTTGGTTTTTGTTTAGACAAGGGTCTTGGTGCTGTAGCCCAGTCACCCTGAAACTCCTAATATAACTAACCCCTGTGCACCTTATGCATGTATTATGCAGTGCTGAGGATGGAACTCAAGGCCTCCTGTATAGGCATGGTATAACTGAGTTACATCCCCAGTCCTGTAGATCTATATAGTCTAGATTTATATTGCTACAACAAATTTTTGGAATGCTTGTAACTTAACCTGATGGTAACCATGATTTTACTTTCTGAGATGCAAACTTAACTAAAACTTATCAAGTATCTGGCAAAATTGAGATCTAGTGTCTACAAGGAAATGTTTTTGGAGTCAAGTGTTCAAGCTATCATTTTGGTGTTTTCTTCTTTTAAAATTGATAAATGATAAACTGTTAACTTTTGGTACAATAAAAAAGGAAATCAGGCTGGCAAGATGGCTCAGTTAGTAGAGGTGTTTTCTCTCAAGCCTAACTTGAGTCTGATCCTGAGAAAAATTGGTAAAAGAGAATTGACTCCTTCTAGTTGACCTTTGTCCTCCACATGTGTTCCTCCCCCAAAATAGATAATAATAAACATGTTAACTTAAATGATGTCTTTGGATTCAAATAGTTTAAGAGATGTGGGGATTTTGCTGTTTTTTGTTTGTTTTTTGCTTTTTAAACAAGGAAACTCTAAAGATGGTGCCTGGTGGAAGAAAGCACTCTGGGAAATCTGGGAAGCCACCACTGGTGGATCAGGCTAAAACAGCCTTTGACTTTGAGAAAGAAGATAAAGAACTGAGTGGTTCAGAGGAGGATGTTGCTGATGGTAAATATCTCTAATGCTGGGTAGTAACAATTTCTAAAGCTTATTTGTTTTGAACCCTATACACATAAAACTGAATAAAGCATATTCACATACTTCTCATAAGCTCTCACTTCAAAGAGTATTCCTTATCTTTAACTTTTTAAGTATAGTATATGACTTGCTCTGACCAGACTTGAAAATTTGCTTCTATGTGTCATGAATTGTAATGTGATTTCATTTTTCAGAGAAAATACTGTTTGCTTATCTGCTTTTAAATTTTGTTACAAAATCCTGAAAGAACTAAATATAGACTTAATTAAAATTTACCAAAATAGCATACTTAATTTCGATTTTTATTTTGTCAATACAGAAAAGACTCCAGTAATTGATAAACATGGAAAGAAAAGATCTGGGGGACTAGTTGAAGATGTGGGGTAAGATGTTAAAATAATTTGAAGGTGTGCATGCACGTGTGTGTGTGTGTGTGTGTGTGTGTGTGTGTCTGTCTGTCTGTCTTGTCTGTCTTGTCTGTATGTCAGGTATTCATGCTTGCAGAGCAAGCATTTAACTGATCTATTTCCCAAGCCCCAAAGATGCTTTCTTTGTTCAATAAATTACTTTATCTAGCAGGTAGTGATATAAAATACTTGGTATGTGGTATTGTGAATTTCTAATTAAAAGATTGTTTTATTTTTGATTGTGCTAAAGATCAAACCTAGGTCCTTATTGCATATTGGGAAAATGTTCTCTTGCTGAATTACATTCCTGGTCTTAATTTTTAAAATATTTTTCACAGAGGTGAAGTACAGAATATGCTGGAAAAATTTGGAGGTATGTACTTGGGAGATAATTTAAAGACCATTGTTTAAAATTATATAGTAATTGTATAATAGGAAATGTTGGATCAGTTCACTATGTGAATATTGTTTAATGCCGTGTTCTCATATAGGGTTTTGCATAAATATTTGTTATATAGCATCATAAATTTTTCTTTCTTAACCCTTTTTCATGATACTAAAAGTTAACATGGTACTTTTAAGAATTTTAGAAAAATAGAAGGGAAAAGTTTTTTCTACTTTATATTTACAAGGTATGTCAGTTTTTCATTCACCTATTTTCTAGGACTCTTGTGGAGGAGGATATAAATTAAAGCACCACAAAAGAACTGTTAGCATTTTTATAGTAATAAATTGAAAGTAAGTGGTAACTTTTCCAGTCAGTAAGAGATTTATAATCAAAGCCAAAAATCCTTAAGTTTTAAATATGTTTTTATTTGAGTTTAATTAGGAGATAGCACTCTGCTTATTTGCTTCTTTGCTTCTCTTTGAGACAGGAGTCAGGCTGGCTGGAGCTTGCTAGTTAGTTCAGGTTGGCCTTAAACTAAGTCTCTTCAGCCTTGTGGGTGCTGGGATAACAGGCATCAATTACCTTGCCCAGTTTAAGAGAATACACTATTTTTTTAACATTTCGGGGAGAGGTGGGCAGCATGTCATGATGGATGTATGGAAGGCAGATGACAACTTGCTGGAGTCATTTACCTCCTACCATATGGATGGATCCTGGGATCATACTCAAGTTGTCAAACTTGGCTGCAAGTACTTTGTTGAACCATCTCACCAGCCCCAAAATACTCTTTTTAAAAATAATTTGTTTCCTATAAGGATTATTCTTATTGTTAAGTCTATTTTTTATATTTAAGGATTGCTCTATTTGGTAGTAACAAATGCTTATTTGGTTTTTCGAGACAAGGTCTTTCTATGTAGCCCTGTCCATTTTGGGACTCACTGAGTAGACCAGGCTGACCTCAAACTCAGTGAGATCCTCCTGCCTCTGCCTCCTGAGTGCTAGGGTTAAAGGTGTGCACCACCACCTAGCATACTATAAATGCTGGAAATACAAATACATTATAGTTACACCATAGTCACCAAAAGGTAACTTTTATGGCAATAAGATAGATGCATAGCAAATATTATTTGAGGTATTAAATGTTTTGTGAACTGCCATACTTATTAGTTATAAAAACGCTCTATAAAAACCACTGTGAACTGGGGTTGGCGGCACACACCCAGCTCTTGGAAAGCAGAGGCAGGCGGGTCTCTGAATTCAATGCCTGAGTGGTCTACAGTCAGGGCTATGCCATGAAAAACCCCATCTCAACAAAACAAATCAATGCACAAAAACAAATCTTCCATTGAAGTATCATAAAGTAGTCAGAGATACATTATCTAGATATTACACTAAGATTTCTTTTTTTTTGCCTCAAAAAGTGACATTTATTCAAAGAGAGAGAGAGAAAAAAAAACAAAACAAAAACAAGATGTCCATCCCTTGGCTCCCTTCCCTCCTCCCTCCAGCTGTTCCTCAGCCCCCCAGGACTGAACCCTGGCTAGGGCCAGGTAGCAGGACAGCCCCTCAGATGAGGTCAGCTACATTGAGGGGCATTTCTTCAATGGAGGTGTTATAGAATGTCTCAATGTCTCGAAGAGTCCTCTTGTCTTCTTCTGTCACCATATTAATAGCCACACCTTTACGGCCAAAGCGACCACCATGACCAATTCTGTGGATGTAGTTTTCCCTGTTGGTGGGAAGGTCATAATTGATGACTAAGGAGACTTGCTGTACATCAATGCCTCTGGCCAACAGGTCAGTGGTAATTAATACTCTGCTAGAACCAGACCGGAACTCCCTCATGATCACATCTGGTTCCTTTTGGTCCATATCTCCATGACCACCTTTTGTATCTGCTGAGCCAACTCGAGAGTGGGTGCCAGAACCAAAGCCTGAGTGGCCTTCAGATCTAACTCAATCTGCTGCAAAATGGATATCACGAATGTAGCTGTTTTCCCAGTCCCAGACTGGGCTTGAGCAATCACATCATAACCCTTGATACAAGGAAGAATGGCTCGCTGCTGGATGGCAGAGGGCTTCTCAAAACCATAGGCATAAATACCACGGAGGAGGGACTCTGAGAGATTCATGTCATCAAAGCTATCCACAATCTCATTCCAATTATTCTCGATGACGCCTTCAGGCTCCATTCCGTCGGGGCCATTGTCTCTGGATCGAGAATCCTGACTCGCAGACATGATCCTTCGAATCTAGCACACTAAGATTTCTTTTATAAAAAATGTTTAATGCTATTGCTTATTTTACAAATTTTTGCTTTTTTAATTTAGCATTTCTGATTGAGTTTAACAGTTGTACCAAGTATGGCCTATCAAATGGAGGATATACTATACATTTAGAAATATTTAGCCTTTATTAGTATTTATTCATAAGTAAAATATGGTCTTGTCCCTTTGTCTTATTCATTTTTTATTATCCTTAAATTTAAATTTTATCTTCAGTTATAAAAGTCAGAATTGAGAAAAGGTTGGATACTTTATATAGTTCTTACTCCAAAATATAAGACAAAAAGGTTTGAGAAGTCAGCCATTTTGGGGTTTCATAATAACTGCCCAGACTTTACTGGGTGAGCTTCCCTAGTCTGAAAATCCACAATCCTAAGTATTCACATGTTTTTCAAAAGTGAATGTTGGTGCTGTTTTTAAAATTGTTTTAATTTAAATTTTATGATTGTTTGTGTATGTGTGGTATAAATGTGCAATTGTACACATGTGCAGGTCAGAGGGCAATTTTGGGAGTTGCTCTTCCACTGTGGGAGATGACATTTCTAAGGGGTTGGTTTGCCCTTCCTACTGTGGATTCCTGGAATCAAACTTAGGTTGAGGTAGGGGTCTCTGTTTCCTTGCTGCCCTCTAGAACTCACCATGTAGACCAGGTTGGCCTACAGTCCACAGAGATCCACCTGCAGAGCTCTGCCTTCCAAGTGTTGGGATTAAAGGCATGTGCAACCATGCCCAGGGCAGGCAGTTTTTTGTTTTTGTTTTCTGCTGAACCTTCTCCATGGTTCCTAAATTTAATTTTAAATGTCCTTGATATTGTTGAATGAACTCACACTGTTATTTACTTGATTATATGGAAAAATCATTTTCTTCAACATTAAATTTCAATGTTTTTTTTCAATGTTTATTTTCAATATAGCTGACATTAACAAAGCTCTTCTTGCCAAGAGAAAAAGAATTGAAATGTATACCAAAGCTTCTTTCAAAGCCAGTAACCAGAAAATTGAGCAAATTTGGAAAACACAACAAGAAGAAATGTAAGGTTTTTTTCAAAGAGCTACATCTTTATCATTTCTTAGTATGTCCTGGTGCAAATACAGAAAATACCATCATCTGTTTATTTAGTGAAGTGTTTGGCTTTTATTTTCTAATCAAGTAGTCCCACAACCTCATGTCTTCATAGAATTGAAGTGTATTTGAAGTTTCTTAGAAGTCAGGATTACTTTTTAATTTCTCTTTTTAAATAACTGAGAGGTTATTAAACTCCACTGTGGATATGAAGGTGTCATAGAAACTATTGTTTGATAACTATATGTGAAAAATTCAGTTTTACATTGTAAATAATTACACATTTTAACCAACTTGACTATTCCTTTGTACTAAATCTTTGCCATGCCAAAATTAGGGTGGGGAGCAACCCAGGTGAAATAATTTATTTATCAGAATTATATTCAGTAGGAAAAATTCCTTGGAGATTAAAAGTACATTTTTTCTGGAAAACAAAACTTCCTTAGTTTTCAAGAGCTAAAGCATGTGAGAAGACATCTTTTCAGAAAAAAATATTGAAACCAGCACAAATTTTACTTTTAATTTTTCTACCAAAATATCTAATCTATTGTTTCCTTTCTAAAGCATAAAATATGTGAATTGAATTTGCTTTGAATGGTATTTTCACACTGGTATAAAATTTGATGGGATTCATTGTTTTTTACAGACAGAAGCTTAACAGTGAATATTCTCAGCAATTTATGAGTGTGTTGCAGCAGTGGGAACTGGATATGCAGAAATTTGAGGAACAAGGAGAAAAACTAACTGTTAGTATTATAACTGATTTTATAATCTATTATAACTAAACATCAAGTAGAAATAGGGACCCTACTAGTCATATATTATGTTCACAGAACTAAGACAAGTATTATTACCCATTGTTGGCTACATGTTTTAGTATTGCTAGATCATAAACCACTGAATAGGCACATACAATATTCCTAAAAGCACTTGTCTTCTTAATATTGGTATCCTTGCATAAATAAAAAAAACTTGTTGCTGGGCAGTGGTGGTGCACACCTTTAATCCCAGCACTTGGGACAGAGGCAGGTGGGTCTCTTGAGTTCGAGACCAGCCAGGTCTACAAGAGCTAGTTCTAGGACAGGCTCCAAAGCCACAGAGGAACCCTGCCTCAAAAAACCAAAAGAAAAAAAAGAAACTTGTCAATGGATAAAAGGAGAATTACAGGGTTTTGGGGGGTAAGTTAGCTTTAGACAATACAGTTGAAGGGTTGCTTATTATAGTGTCATCTGGGCTCTGCTGCTAGGTTTCTATGAACTTTTAATGTACAAATTTAGTGACTACATAGACTGAGACAATCTTTCTGAATATCTTTGGCAGAAAATTCATGTGGTGGAACATCATTAATTTAGTTTGGATCACTTGCTTATTCCTAACCAGTCACTGGTTACTTGTCCGCCCTTCCCACCACTCCATCCCATGAGTGCTGGGGACTGAATCTGGATACTACAAAAACATGCTATCAATGATCCCCCATGTAAGAATATGGTTTATGAATATCCAAATTGTATTATTTCCTCTATCTCCTCTGGTGATGAAAGTCAACCTCACTCATTCTTTTTTGTTGTGTTTGGTGTTTTGAAACAGGGTCTCACTTTGTAGTCCTGATTGGCCTTTAACTCAGAGAGCTCTGCTTGCCTCTGCCTCTCAAATACTGGGATTAAAAATGTGTGTACAACCATGACTATCTGTTTCATTTTTTAAAATTGAGACAGCATGTTTATGTACTGACTCCAGAGGAATAAATGTATTTATTTCTGGCACTGCAGATTGAGCCTAGGCCCTCAACTGTTCTACCACTACACTATATATTCTCAGCCCTCTTTTTTACCTATCATTTTGAGACAAGTCTCACCAAGGTACCCAGACTACTTTTGTATACTATAGCTTATGTAGGACTTTGACTTGTGATGTCCTGCCTTGGCCTTGAAAGAAGCTAGGGATATAGGCTTGCATCACTAGAGCTGGCTACAGAAGAGATAAATTGCTAAGAATGGCAAAGACATGAAGGTGGATGGAATTTAGTTATCCTTAGAAACAAGAGGACATAGTATGTAAATGTAAGTAGATATAGATGGGTGATGATAGATATACATGGTGATGAAAATCTGTTCTCTTTGGATTCTGTTTTATTTAGTAAGGTCATTAGATAGTGAAAAGTAATACCGTGTTAGAATAATTAGAGTTGAATTTTACAAGATAGGGATTTAGCCAAGTAAATCTAAGAAGGTGATAAGATATATGTGCAAAGGAATATTATACAATTTAATCTGGGAATTACAGTAGAAGGAAGAATGCAATTTTAGTCCTGAACAAAGAATGAACTATAGAACTAAGAAGTTCTAAGCCAGAGCAGTAGGCAGGTTGAATATACAATATCCTGGAGAAACCATATATATGTACAATGATTAGAGCCTGGATTATAGAAACCTATTTGGGACCAAATTCTGCTTGAACAATAGCTAGCTGTCAAACAATGTACTGTTACATTTCAGTTTCCTCATCTTTGGATGTAACTGATGACACCTATGCCAAATAGTTGTGGAGGATTGAGTTCATGTATGTGTTTATATATGTATATTGTAACATATGTACATATATATATAGACACTCAAGGGCCTCAAAATAGTTAATATATTAATAAACAGTTAATATATTTTGTCATTACAATACTATAGAGAGGTTATTCCATTTATAATGGCAAAATCTAGAATATAAGAATGTAAGTGAATGGATTAAGGAGGCTAGAAGACAGAGTCATTGGTGGAGAATAGATTAAGGAACTACAAGTTCAACTTTCAGATACCATCTGTATAAGGCATTGAAATTACTAAAAATAAGATAGTCTTGGGGCTAGGGATGTGTATCAGTTAGTAGACTCTAGCATGCACAAAGCCTTGGGTTTGATCCCCAGCACTTCATAAACCAGGTGTGGTTTTCACTTTCTACTCTCTGATAACCTCACTCACTAAATAAAACATGCTTATAATCCCAGCATTTGAGAGATAGAGGCAGAGGGACCCAGCAGTTCAAGACCATTTCTGACTATATAGTAAATTTGAGGCCAGCTTAGATCCTGTCTCAAAACCTTGAACACTGCAATTTCCTATTCAATCTTTTATGGTGCTATATGCCTATAATCCCAGCTACTTAGGAAGCTGAGGTAATGGAGTCACAAGTTCTAGATCAGGCTGTGCAACATAGTGAAACCTGGTCTCAAAAAAGAAATATTTGGGTCTAGAGCCAAGGGCTCAGAGGGTAAAGAGTTCTTATTACTGCTCTTGAAGACAACCAGGTTTCATTCTCTGCACTCAGACAGCAGTTCCAGTGTCTGGGGATTCAATATCCATTCATACTCAGGCACACAAAATATTGTTAGAAATATTTATACTCATTGACTGATACGATTAGTGGTAAAAAAAATACTTAAACCTAGACTTAATAGTTGGTAAATTACTAAAGGTATTAACTTTAAACTGTGCCTTTAAGTTTAATATGTAATTATTTTTTGCTAAATTTAAAAATAAGGGTTGGGACAGAGCTCAGAGCTAGGTGTCTGTCTGCCTAGTATGTATGAAACCCACAACAGCAAAAACAGTTTGACCAAATCATTATTACAGGCTTTTTTTTATGTTTACAGAATCTTTTTCGACAACAACAGAAGATTTTTCAGCAGTCTAGAATTGTTCAGAGCCAGAGACTGAAAGCAATCAAACAGCTACATGAGCAGTTCATAAAGGTAAGAGTTATACATGGTAATATGTTTTTGCTTTGTTGTATGTGTTTGTTTTTGTGTTTGTTTGAGGTGGGGCTTACTATATAGCCTGGTTGGCCTGGAACTTGCTATGTATGTAGACTAGGATGTCTTCAAACTCACAGAGAGTTCTCTTGCCTTTCCTCCACGTGCTGGGATTAAAGGAGTGCACCACTAAGCTCTACTCTCCATATCCTTTTTATATTGTTACTATTATATTGTTTTAGAATTCTTACCTTTGCAGTGGTGCATCATGTCTTTAATTTCTGCTATTACATTTGTTCATTCTCTACTTGTACTATCACTTTCTCATCACCCTTTCTCCTATTAAAACTATTAACTCATTTCTCTTTTCCTTCATTCCACAAACACTTTTGAGTCTGGGTTATTATCTTTCTAAAACCTCCTTCCTGAAAATGTGTCTATAGAGTCCCATTCTGAATTTCTAGTTAGGATTCCACTTGACATGATTCTTTTTAAGCTTCACAAACTATACATGTCCATTACTCCAAACTGTACATAATTACTTTGTCTGAATTAACAGACTTATGTATTTCCATGCTTATTATACTATTCCTCTAGAATATTTTAAGTTCCCTTTTAATTAATGAAAATGTACATTTTGTCGATTAAGCAGAAATATTCATGCATTTCACTGTATAGCTACAGGAGTTGCATTTCCATTCTTGTTATAAAGTTATGTTATTTTTGTTTACAAAAAATTCTGATTGAAACAAACATGTATTACTATTTTTTTAGTTTCTCCACAGAAGAACAGTACTTTTTACATAGGCAATAGAATAACTATTTGTTGAATGAATATTAAAAATTTTAAAACTTTTAAGCTAGGTGTTATGGCATATTTCTCTGATTCCAGTAGAGGTGAGCCTGAGGCACAGGATTAGTGAGTTTGAGGTGAGCCTTGACTATATAATGAGATCCTGTCTAGAAAAACATTAAGGCAGAGTTCAGTTTCCAGAACCCACATGACAGAAGCGGAGATCCCAATACCCACAATTGTCCTCTACATGTGAGCCACACACACATACACTAAATGAATGGAAATGCGTAATGAACAAATTTGAGAATATTAATCTAATACTTTTAATTAATCTAACAATTTTTATAACTTGAGAAATAACTACAGATACTTTATTCTCTTTCGTGAGTTAAAGTGACATTGACTCTTATCTTATACCCAGATGTCTCAAGAAGCTTACTAGAAATTTTCAAAATTGTATTTACTGATGGACCTTCTACAGTTTCTATTTCTGAATTTTATTTTCTTTTGAGACAGGATCCTATGTTGCCCAGACTAGCCTCAAATTCTCAATTCTCCAGTCTTGGTGTAGCTCCTTTCCCTGTTTTTCCTTTTATCATCTTGACATTAAACTATTGTTTTGGGCAAAGATGCTATTTGCATTTGATTAATGTGTGATATAATTTACTTGCTTATAATGAGAAATTTGCTCTCTGTGAGTAGCTTAGAATGATAGGGGTAAATAAGCAGTTATATATAATGTTCTGTTTGCATGTATACCAGCATGCCAGAAGAGGGCTCCATATTGTATTACAAATTATTGTGAGCCATCATGTACTTGCTGGGAGTTGAACTCAGGACCTCTGGAAGAGCAAACAGTGCTCTTAACCACTGAGCCATCTCTCCAACCCCTAATTAAAAGATTCTTACTTTTGAAAATTTTACAGTTTAGAACCTGTAATTAAAAGTTACAGTTTATAACCAGAGTTGCCTTTTTGTATTTCAGAATTTGGAGGATGTGGAGAAAAATAATGATAATCTATTTACTGGCACACAAAGTGAACTTAAAAAAGAAATGGCAATGTTGCAAAAAAAAGTTATGATGGAAACTGTAAGTTCTATTTTAAATTGTAAAAATAAGGATTAATGGAGGCACTGAAATGTTTTATTTGCTGAAAATTTTATAACATTTAACTAAAAATTAAACATGTTTCATATCTCCTTTCATGAAACAGCAGCAGCAAGAGATGGCAAATGTTCGAAAGTCTCTTCAATCCATGTTATTCTGATGAGTCTTTGAAGAAAGAACTTGAACCTATGTAATATATGATACAGTTAAAACATTATCTATGAGGCATGCCTATAGAAAGTATACTTTGAACTATAACATTCATAACCATAGCTTGTTTAAGTGGAAGACTTCTGTTCCTGTTAACTTTTAAATAAAACTTAACAGCTGTATAAGTAGCAGCTATTTCAGTGTATCAAGCTTTCAACTCTTATAATAGTGAATTGTTTGCTACTATTGTGTCAATAAAAATGATTTAAATTTAAGTTTTCAGTGTATCTCTTAACAGTCCCAAAGGTACAAAGTTCCAAGTATGAATGGTTGTTTTGTTTTTAAGATAGGGTGTAACCCTCTTGCCCAAATTAGTCTCAAACTTTTGGGAGTGATCCTAAGCCTCCCAAGTAGCAGGAACAAGTGCATGACACTACTACTGGCTTACACTGTTCTCCTTTAAGGAAAAAAAAATAAACCTTACTAAAACAATAGATCACCAATTCTAAAATTAGAATCTTTATACAGTTAATAAACTGTATAATATAACTTTAGTGTGCCTTGGAATAAATTATAAATAATATACCTGGAAATATAAGTATTGGTTCTAATACACAGATTTATGCAAGGTCAACAAGATACCATTTAATTGGTCTAGTCTGTACTTAATTGACACATGCCCTTAGTAATGATTAAGAGTATTATCACAAACACAGCTAAAGTTATTTATAGTTTGAGTATTTCCTATCCTCATTCAGTACTGAAAGCTTGATTTCACATTCAGCTCATTCATTTCCAAACTTGAACTGTTTTCAATTTTTAAAATAGGCATTTATACACAGAAACTTAAACTCAATTACATACATGTTGAATTGCTTCAACATTCCTTTGAAGTCAGTTACATTTACTAGTTTTTCTGAAATACCCTTCAATGAATCATTCAGAACAACAAAACATACTCATTTGAAGGAACTAATTTTGTTGTATATCCCATCCAGATCTTAGGGAGCAATCACCCTTCTACCATTAGCTTTGGCACTAAAGGGACAATGCTATACTTTTATAATTCCTTTTAGGGGGAGGTGTTGGTGGTAGATCAAGCCAGGGCCTTAACCATACTAAGAATTCACTCTTCCACTTAGCTATGTCTGCAGCATGGGATATAAACCTTAAGTATCATTCAGACTTTTAAGACTTTGAGTTTACCCAGAGTTAAGAGAGGCAAAGTAAGTACTTCAGAGTGTTTTCTCTGTATTCACATATTTTTACCTTTTGAGAAATATATACTTTTAAAAAAGCCCTTTATTGCTTGGAATACTTAAAAGTACATGTTTTTTGATTATTTCATATAGCCTGTGGGACTTCTGCATGAAATTAGAAATAAGGTCACACGGGGCATAAGATAACACTAAAGAGTGTTAAGTGTTAAGATAATTCTAGTACTTACAAAGAGAAATCTTAAGTATTTTCAACTGAAAATAGAAAAGACGATGAGTACCCAATATACTTAGTGTTGAATAACTGACACTTGTTTTTTCCACCTTTTTTGGCCATTTTTTCAAAGTTACTAATTTCCTTTCGCTACTTTTTGTCTTCCTTTGGAGACTTAAGGTCCATATTTCTTCATGGAAGTACATTTTTAGTTGGACTAAGAAAGATTCACATTATGCTGAATTGGTACAACAGATTCCTTTTACTAAATATAAATTATAACAAAATTTCCATAACCATTGCTTTAAATTCTAGATAGTACACTAAAGTATATCTTTCTATAATTAGCAGACATCTTTTGAACAATGGCTATTATATAAAAATATTTCTTGGTGTATCACTTGACTCAATTATAGCATTATGATTATATACTTAGTATTTTGAGATCACTTTTCAAGTTTCATCAACCAAGCATCACTGCCAAGAAGGCTAGATATTCTTTTTAAGTTCTGAATATTTGTGTAATCCTTTGGCAATCAATACCCTGAGTCTGATAGGTATTTTGTAGACACAGTGCCATTTAGAATCATTGGGGTTCAATTTCTTATTGTTCTTAGTATTCAAATTTATTTTTTGCTTTTGCTTCTAATCCATACATTACATTGTACTGATGTATGTGATAATTACTGACATAGACATAATGGAAGCTACTATATTTATGTTTTACATTTAAACATAACCTTATAGATAATATACTAGCCTCCTGCATAAGGGGATTTCCTTCACACATAGGTTCCCCTAACTGCTTCTCCTCTTTTCTTGGGGCTACTAGTCAGTCAATATGCTTGTGAACCTGTTCAGGTGCTTGTTGACATGAAGTCTTGAAGATACTTAGATGAAGGTGTCTTGAAATTTGCAGGCACAAAGAACTAAAGTATATCATCATATCAAATGAAGAAATGACCTTTGGAAGCAAAAAAAAAGCAAGAATAGAAAATGGGTTATGGTTCATCTTTTCTAAAAATACAATTATTTTCCTATCAGCTCCAACTCCCACCTCAAATGTCCTTAAAATTGATGACTGAAAATACTATATTTTAGAATACTTTTCATACTTAAATCTTATAGCCTTAGTGTTCTTTTGTTTGTTTTTTTTAAACAGGGTCTTGCCATGTAATCCTGGTTGGCCTTTTAGTCATTATGTAGCCCAGACTGGCATTTAACTCATGTCACCCCTCTTGCCTCAGCTTCCCAAGTGCCACGATGTCCAGATATTCTGGGTATTTTATAGAAATTGAAACATAGAGGTAAAAAAAAAAAAAAACTAACGTACAAATGCTCAAAAGCAGAAGAACCTCAAGGAAGCCACAGATTGCCTAGTAGAAGAGTCTGTTCATGTATTTTTAATCCTTACACATTTAAGAACACAAAAGGCCTAGAAAAGAGACTAGTTGAGAGTAGCATACATCAAGTTGCACTGTATTCAAAACTAAAGAAAAAGAGATTAGAGTCAAATACTTTCCTTTAGAAAATAAAGCCCAGAAAAAGCTTTTAGGAATAGAATTCTCACCCACAGGAAAAGCTCCTTTTTATTTACTTGGAAAATTCTGTCACGTTCTTTATATCTCTGAAAGCTTTACCCATATTTTGTGTGTCTGAATTGTCTTTTACATCGTATTTTTAAAGGAAAAAAATAACATTCTCAGTTCCAGACTGTTCTATCATTGGTGTAAATCAGACCAATTACTATTACAAAATAGGTGCTTTAGCCAGATGGTGGTGGTGCACACTTTTGATCCCAGCACTCAGGAGGCAAAGGCAGTTTGAGGCCAGTCTGGTCTACAGAGTGAGTTCTAGAACAGCCAGTGCTACAGAGAAACATTGCCTCCAAAAACAAAACAAAACAAAACAAAAAATTGGTGCTTGATCCCTCCCCCTTGATCTCAAGATCTCTCTCTCACACACACACATATACACAAAGCTTATATTACCTGATCTGATATTCCTACTCTTTCCTCTAGAAGCTTCTGAGTTTCAAAGTCTAACATTGTGGAGTACTCAGCCACATCTATATTATAACCCCTTTCCTGAGGACCCTGTGGGGGTGGCTAGAAAAACTGAAAGACCAAAAGGCTGAGGAGAACTTGGGCAAAACAGTATCTTTTGGATGTGACAGGATCATGAGCTCACAGCAGTTATGTGGTTGTCAATATATGATGAAGCCAGTCAATCATTTCAGCATGAAGAGGAGAAACCTCCACCCCTCTCTGAGGAGTTACTGACAAATGACAGTTGGTAGGTAGGAGAGGGAAAGCCCACTTAAGAGTTTAGCCCCCATAACCAAGAGTATATGAGCAGTACAAATTGAGCTTATTGGATTATTTTTAAAAGGGGCATGAAATTAAGAGGGGTGTGAAGTGGGAGATGATAGACCTGGGAAGAGTTGGGGGAAAGGGTATTGGTGAATATAATCAAAATACTTCATATGCATGTATGAAATTCTCAAAAGGTATTTTTAAAAATCCTTGCATCAAGTTTTCAAGGTATTTTGAATAATAATTTCCTATTTGGGTTGTTTTACAACCACAAATTTGATGTTTCATAATTTGGGGTTTTTGAGGCATAAAAACAGAGCAAATTAAAAGGAAATTAGTTATGAAAGACTTTTCAGAATATTGCTTAAAAACATTCATTATTCACCAGAAAGTTTTTAAAAATGAATATTACTACTGCAAATAATGGAAGACAGAATGGAATATCAATTAATAGTAAGATATTAATTTAGTCCAGTAAGTTTAATGTTGTGTAACCTATTGGAGGGTCATTAAATGTATCCTAGTGCCTGTGCACAAAACAGATAACAGTTGTGATGATTATGTGAATTAGTAAAACATCCATATATTACTAGCAGTTTGATAAAAGCCAGTGAGGGCCATAGGTGAGAAAAATACAATAAAACTGTCTTAGCCACCATAAAGTTTAGTGTCAATCATAAAGGTAGATCTCAATATTACAAAATTTTAATGGTCCATTTATTTAATTTGGTAAGATTGAAGTGTTATCAGTAATGACTTTTCCTCAGAAATCTAGTATCTCTTATAAGAAATATATACATATTCCTTTTAAACAAAATTTTGTTATTTTGTGCATATGGGTGGTTTTGCCTGCATGTATATCTGTGCACCACAGGGGTGCAATGCCATAAGTGGAGGCCAGAATAGGACTGGAATCACAGATGATTTTAATCTACCCTGTGGGTGTTAGGGATTGAATTCAGGTCCTCTGGAATAGTAACCAGTGCTCTTAACTGCTGAATCACTGCTCCAGTCCTGTACATTCCTTTCTTAATCAGGATATAATCAATAAGAATTTAACCTCTGCTTGATGACCAAGTCATTAATAAAATATATTTTTACCAAGGGTTGTATTCAAGGTTGCTTAGCTCAAACATAATCTGCTTTTCAAATCTTACCCTGAGACAAGGAGTACTATCTGTTCTGTTTGTTAAGTGATAGTTTGGGTGGAATAAGTGCCCCATCTACTTGGCTTGTTACCTGATACAAGCTGGGATAACTTTAATAAACTTAAGTAAAGCTGGAAAGTCTTGTGCAAAGTGGAATTTTTTAAAAATCTGTTCTGATTTGGGGGAAGGAAAAGAGTTATCTTTAGGTACACAGCTGTCTATGATCTAGGTTGTCGAAAGCCTGACCCCCTCAGATAAGCCTATCATTCTATACATAACATAAAATGATTCATGGATCAAAAGTAAATTAAATTTAAATGTGCAGAAATACTTATATAGACTATACATTTATGATCTCACTGAAATGGTTCTTACATTGT